TTAAGTACGAGTTAAACTCAACTTTTTTTATCATCAGTATAAAATACTGAAATACTAGAAGAAGATTTGAATTCAGTTAGAATCAAAAATTCATCAACAGGTTGTGGAAAAAGTCAATAGTTTCTTCTTTTCATTGAAATTTAGCTCCAAACTTCACAGTTTCACTGAAGGTTTTAATATGAATTTCTACTTAGAAATGATAATTATCAATTAACAGACTGGAAAAATCCTGTTAATTATTAACAAAAGCTGCAGTTTTGACTTGGAAAGTCTGAAGTCCAGATTTTATTTGAAACTGATGAAAAATTGTTTTTCATCTCTTTAAATTATTAAAATACTATTTTTAAATTCATGAACCAATCTGTCTGAAGTAGATCTATAAACTCAGATTGGGGAAACTTTCCTTCTTCAAGACAAACACACTTTCATTGCTTTTTGACGTGAAACAGATTATATTGAGAAACCAAACTTGAAATAATTATAACTCTGAAACACAGTTTGTTTTTTGAATGTTTATTTGCAATTACAAAGCAGGAATCTTTAATTTTCCCAAAAATATTTCTAAAATCTCATCTTATTGTTTTTAACTCTGACGGTTTATTATTTCTCGTTGGTTGAACAAGAGAAAATAAACAATACAAGGTTGTGATGAAAAACTTTCAACAATAATTTACTTTGAGCAAAACTCTAAATTTTAAAACATTCATGTTTTTTGTGCTTCATTTTTCAGTTTCATTTCATGATTACCATCCTCTCCCCTTCATGTTTTCTCTCAACTGCAAAAAGTCATTATTGAGAGTTAAAAACAATAGTTTCTTATAAACAGTAAAAAATGACGGGCCACCGTGCGATTATTTAGAAAGCTGATTTAAACACTCGCTGGTTTCTGCTTCCTCTTAAAAACAATGTTTTAACATTCAGTTTTCCACTAAATGAAGGTAAAAACTGCTGTGAATAATTATCTGAATCATTTAAGCTATATTATTGTCTAAGTTATAAAAAAAATACATTTTTGAATGAAAATCTTTGCTTATTCCTTCAAATATTCGTGAATGAATCAGAAATCTTTGAAATGACTGAATTTTTTAAACTGAGGTCCTAAATGTGTTCAGTGGAAGTGGCTGAGCGTCTTTGTGGCTCCTGGACGACTTTAAACTTCAAAGTTTCAGCAAAACCCAAATATAGACAGAACCGCCTGCTAGCCGAGCGAACCAGCTTCATGATGGCTGTTAGAAAAAGAGAGCTGGGCTTTTTTTGGCCTAGTTGGCATTACTGGTACCATGTGCCACAGAGTGTGTGTGTGTGTTGCTGTTTTGTATAGAAAGTGCTGTGTGCAGGGGAACGGGGATTTGGTGCCATCAGCACGGTGATGTCAGCACCCGGGAACAAACAAAGCCCGACTCCAAACCCGCTCCCAGCTCTCCCTGCTACCCACAATCCAGCTGGAAATGATGGGGCCCGACTCTGGGGGCCCTCTGCTGTTAAAACACACACACACACACACAAACACACACACATGTTGGTGTTGCTATCTTTGTGGGGACTTTCCATTGACTTCCATTCATTTCTACAGCCTAAGCCTTACCTTTACCCTTTTCCTAACCCTAACCATCACATACCTAACCCTAACCAAAACTCAATTCATACCTTAGCCCTAACTCTGACCCCTGACCCAAAAACAGGGTTTCCCCTTGTTGAGACCAGGCTGCAAAACATCATCGCTGGAAGTTTCCATCACTGCTTCTCTGATTAACCCTCTGTATGTCTGGGGATGTTTTTATACATCCAGAAGCACAGGGATGGATCTCTGTGCTTCTGCATCTTCTGTTGATTTGAGTTTAATTTGCTGAAAGTTTGAAACTTAACTTTTATATGAAGAAGAAACTATGAACCTTCAGAGCAACATAAAGACGGTTAAAAAGCTGGCCTTTTATCACCTGAGGAACATTTCCAGGTTTAGAGGACTGATGTCACAGTAAGCAGGGTTGTCCAAAGTGGCCTGGGGGCCATTTGTGGCCCTTGAAACTGTTTCATGGCTGCAGTTAAAGAATGGGTCTGACCAAAACAAATCAATCAGCTGATCCAGAACGCTGCTGCTGGAGTTCTAACTAAAACCAGGAAGTCAGAGCACATCACCCAGTTCTACAGCGAGAGAATAAACTTTAAAATACTGTTAGTTTATAAATCACTGAACAAATCTGGAACAAAAACCTGAAAAATAGTCGAAACACTGCCAGGATCTGAACCAACTGGGTTCTGGACCAGCCGGGATCTGGACCAGTCGGGATCTGGACCAGCCGGGTTCTGGACCAGCCGGGATCTGGACCAGCCGGGTTCTGGACCAGTCGGGATCTGAACCAGCCGGGATCTGAACCAGCCGGGTTCTGGACCAGTCGGGATCTGAACCAGCCGGGATCTGGACCAGCCGGGATCTGGACCATGTCTGTCTGGAGTTCCAGTGAAGTTAGCAACAAATCAGCAGCTCACAGGAACAAAGACTCTGTGACTCAGACACTGCAGGAACCTTACAGATGTTACATTTACTGGAGTAACTTTATGGAAAGATTTTACTTTTAGGAGTTTATTACATATCACTTACTACTTCAGTAAGTAGAAAGTGATACTTCTTGAAGTAGTGATACTTACTTCAGTATCACTACTCTTACTTGAGTAACATTTCTGGATTCTCTACTAACTGTGATTAACTTCACTGAATCAAAAACAAATAATTTTAACAAAAAAATTCACCAGACAAAGACGCTGACAGTTTGTGTCAAAGTGAGACCTCTTGTTCGTACACCATCTTTGTTGCTCTGATGTTGCTGGAGTCCGTTGCGCCATTTGAAAGTCAAATACTGTAAACATGTAACGTTTTGTGGCATCAGAAGGCCTCAGTCTGTCTCATCCAGCAGGCACACGCTTTGCAAACAGCTCAGGACATTTCTGTCCTCACGGTGCGGCGAACTTCATCCTAACAGTTATTATGGATAAACCAGCTGGAAAAAAGACGGTGGGGAGGAAGAACAGGAAAAATGCTTCAGAAATGTAAAGATTTGATTTGTTACCCCTCATTTTGAAGGTTAGTCAGTTTCATAAAAGGTTTAATGCTCTTAAAGTCAACTGTTTGTTTGCTTTGTGCATTTGTCTCGTTTTTATGCTTATTCTAGTGTTAATAGTTTAAATATTTCCACTCCTGGAGCGGTTTATAAGCAAAAAGTAACTGATTTAGACTTTTAAAACTACTCAAGTAACTGATCAAATTATGAATCATTTAATATTTAAAAATTACATCATCAGACGGGACAAAATATACAGTTAAGATAAAAAGTGATTATTTGTTTCTGATAGTTTTCAGTTGACTTATTGTATTGATCTGAATCCGTTCTCTGCAGCTGATCTCCTGTAGATTAATCCCAACTCAGATCAACAGACGTCCTTAAACCTCATGTTCTCTTGGCTTTCCCACTTTTAAACGTGGCTAATGAAACAGATAATGTATCACATTATATGTATTCATAAAGTTCACAGGAAGTCATGAACTTTAAATTCATCAACATTTGGATTATATTAAAAAAATAAACCATAAGCTGCTCTAAATACTTTTTATACAAATAATTATTTGTGTTTTTCCCCAATCAGTAAATTTACTCAATAAGTGTTAAATTTTTGCAAAATACATTCATCTTTACTTTTGAATCAGTTTTTATAATTGAACATTAAATGAACTTTCTGCATTTATCAAATGGTTGCTGTTAAACTATAAACTCAAACTAAACGTCGTTTCTGCTCCTCTCTGCTTTAAACGCCTTTATGTCGCTGCGTTTGAGTTTCTGTTTATTTCTGTTAATTTTTCATTTTATTTTGGGGCATCGAAGTGGGGGTGGCTGGGTACTGAGGTCCTGCAAACTGTTCAGATGATTTACAGGAGGACGAGGCTCAGTCTGTGTTTCCACTGCAGCTCTGCGTCTGTAAGGAGAATTTTCAGACGGTTTCCCGTAGTTTAGCCGAATGTTTACATAAATTCAAGCTTCAGCCTCAACTTTCTGCAGAGAAACTTTGCCACAGTTCATGCGGGGAGGGAAGGAGTCAGCAAGTTACTCGCCCTGAACTGTATTTGTTGCCTGGTAACACAACCTTGGATCAGGAAACACTGGGAGCCGTTGTGAGCGAACAAAGATTCACAACGATCTCTGACCTTTTAGTCTCAGCAGCTTTTCACCAAGGCCGAGTGTTTTATAAATCCGTCTCCTATCTGTGAATTCACCCACAGCTTCGCTGATAAATACCGCAGAAACGCGCTTTGTGTGCTGATCACGCCTCAGAAATAAATGTACAGGTGGCAATCAGGGCTTCCTGTTTGTCTCTATGCTGCTGCAGATTATTCAGAGTTTCAGCAAAATCTTCCTCATTTGGATAAAAGAACCAAACTGGGTACAGATGCTCCAGGGTCTCTGCCTTTTGGGGGGGGAAAGAGGAAAATTCAACAGGACATTTTTTCAAGGAATATTTATGTTTCCACTGAATTTGCTAATATTTATCACAGATTAATACTTTTGGTGTCAAATCAGACACAACTGTACCCACAGGAATCAGATTTACTGTGTTTTTTCACAAGATGGCCACCATGGTTGATAATAATGTTTTGCCAGTTAAATGAATCATTTTAAACCAGAGGATTCATATTTATTTTCACGATCTTTTTCACTTGTTTTAGGTCAATACTGATGAAAAGTCCCAGTTTCACTGGCAGATTTTCACTTATAACAAGATGTTTTTCCCACATTATACATGAAAATCTTCCAGTGAAACTAGAAAGTTTCATCAATACTGACCTAAAACAAGATACTACGTCTGGATGAAAAGTTACTTAGAAGTTAGTTTTGTCTTATTTTAAGTGAACTAAGAAACTTGACCAAAACATTTGGTAATACTTTGAGTTTGGATTCAAATTCATGAGTCAGTTTCTCACTTTGCATTTGTTTGTCTTTATTCTTTTCCAGTTACGTAACATGAGATTAAAGACACGCCCCGGCTGAACCAGACGGCAGAAACTGGGACCAGGTAGGTGCATCACACACACACACACACACACACACACACACACACACACACACACACACACACACACACAGCAGCGTTTGCGCCCAGCCTCCGCTGCCTCCAAACTGAGCGTGGCTCGGTGTTTATGAAGTCAGACGGTTGGAAGAAGGCCAGGCTTTGTTCCAACCAGCTGGACGGTCATTCCCAGAGAGAATCTCTTCCTTCTCGCTGTGATGAACGAGGAACAGGAGCATCACCAACATGGATCCTCTTCCTGCTACAAGCGTCTTCATCATCCTCTTCATCTTCTGGCTTTTCTCAGCAGACTGAGTGGACAAATGTCCAATCAGGATTTTAAAATGTAACGCCTTGTAAAATGACCTTTGACCTTTTCATATGTTCGCCTTATTATCACAAAACTGATTGTATTTTGCTCCGCTTGTCGTCTTCTAAACTCAGCTAAAGCATCCCCACAGCATGATGCTGCCATCGCCTTACATTGCACAATGTGTGCTGGTTTTCCAGCATGCAGTCTTTCAGTCTCATCTGACCACAGATCAAAAAGGATTTTTTTCCGGTTATATTGGTTTGAAAAGGGTTAATACTGAAGAGGATGAGGGAAACTGGGGAAAAACTCATTCTGACTTTTTCTCATAATTTTGACTTCTGAGATCAAAAGTCACAATTATGAGAACAAACCCTCAGAATTCAGTCATTGAAGTCAGATGATTATTTTTTTAGTGTGAGTAATCCTCTTCCACAGTGAAACACACATATCTGCCACATTTTTAATTCTAGCACATGCTAGTAAAACACTCTGAACTTTGTGCTGGTAATTTGACAAAATTGAGAAAAAGTTCAAAGGTTATGGAGCCACTGTAAACGTCCAGGCCAGGAGGAATGTGTCGACTTGCTGTCAACTATTTGCTGCTTTGTCATGAGGCCACAGAGCGCTAAAACACGTAAAGTTGTGTGTTTCACACCTCGCGGCCCCCGCCCTCCTTCCTCCTGGCCCAGTAGCAGCCGGGCCAGCGGTCCTGCAGCTGTGACCAGAACAATAGCATTCCTCGGGTTTTAAACGCCTGGCACTTAGATTCCTAACAGCAGATTCCTGACGGGGGAAGCCGGGGCGTTGCTATGGGCCGCCTTGTGAGGAGACGTACAGCTGTAAAGCGCTCTGTGATTTGGCTTTTTTATGAGTGGTGGGTGGGATTCCTGCTCATGTTCTTTATTTCTCAGATGTGGCATTTTCAGCACATTTACAGCAGTTTATTTTTAAGAGGCGTCCTGCTGCTCCGTCGTGTTGATGGAGGCACCTGTTAGGTCAACATGAGTCTGATGATCTGCTTCTTAGCACATGTGGAGCAGCAAACTGCACAGATGTGCTGGAAACGACACATGAGGTGTTAACAGACGAAACAAACCAGGTCGTGTTTATGGACTCACCTTAATACTGACAGAAACGACACAAAACAGCTTTTCTTAAAGCGGATCTATTATGCAAAAGTCACATATTGTTCTTTTTTATACTTTTATCTGGGTCTCTACTGCTTATAAAAACAATGCAAGCGCTTATAAAAAAACTATCAGCCTGTTCTTTGGCAATAAGTTCATGTTTTTTGGTGTCTGGAAAATGAGCCGTTTCAAAACCTTCTAAATGTAACGGTACAAATGAGTAGGCAGGGACTCGTTACCTAGCAACCACAAGCTGTTACCAAGCAACTCAAGCAGAGCTCGAGCTGACTTTACAGCTGTACAATGGCTGCTGGCACTTGCTAATTTCTGGTTGGTTGTGCAGGAGGCTCCTCTTCTGCTTTTCAAAGCTGTATGGTTGTATAATTACGCATCTGTTCGCAGCCATTTCCACGTGCGAGTGTAAACTGTGAGGTGCGGCTGCCATATTAAGAAAATAAAAATATTAAAATACAGTCATAAAATTATGAGAACCGTGCATCTTTGAGTTGTATATAATTTTTTTTCTCTGAATATTTAGACTTTATTCTTGAAACATATTTTTATTTCCTCATAAACTCAGCCATAGAAATCTCATCATCTAATTATTTGCTACAAAAGATGTAAAGAACATGTTTAATATCGTTCATAAACCTACCCTAACCCTATTAAGGATGTTTAGTATTGTAGCATTTATTGTGCTACATTCTCATTAGCATCTTCAAAAACCTAAAACATAGAAAACAGAAGTAGAAGCTGAGACTGCAGGCCTCTCTACATGTGAGCCTTCTCTGGTGGTTTAAGTTCACACAGCCAAACTATCAGCATATCTGAAATAACCCCCAAAAATAACGATTCTCTCATTAACCACGCCTGTTTCACAATTTAAATATAAATGAATCTAATTTAGAAAACCTCGGGCGCGATGAAGGAGACTCATTTAGAGCCAATCTAAAATTAATGAGGGCATCTGGAGAGAGGGGCAGAGTGGCGAGGGGCCCTGTGTGGCTGAACAGATACCAGAGTTAACAAGCTACTGTACTTTAAAATCCCCATTCATTTTGAATTAGTACAGTGTTTTAAAGCTTTAATGTTAGCGCTAACATGCTGCAGAGACGTTTCTGATGCGACTTCCAGCCTCTATTTAAGTTGTGATATAGCATTTCCTTCTATGCCTCTGTCTAGGACTGAAAGTTTAATCACAGTATGTTGTGGTCCTACATTGATGACAATAAAAGTGATTTAAAAAAACACCTAATTTATTAAGGTCACAGCAATTATTGCCCCACAAAACTTCTAGTTTCTGCATTTAATCATATTTTCTAATTTATTTGTACAGCTTTACTGAACAAACTGTGGGAAAAAGGTAAAATTAACAATAGGGACAGTTTTAGTTTTTTTTTAAACATTATTAATTGGAATTTACTGCAATAACAATAAATCAGAATCTTAACATGATAAGGAATGTATCGCGATACATGATAAACGATACGATAAATTCAAAAGCACAAAATCTTACCAAGTAATTTTGGTTTAGTTTCTATAAAATAAGACAAAACTAAATTATAATTAACTTTTCAGTAAGATAGGAGCTTGTTTTAAGTAAATAATTAATATTTATGGAAAAATATCAGTTCCAGTGGCAGATTATTCCACTTATAAACTGGGAAAATGTGAAGTAATCTACAGTGGAACTGGAACTTTTTATCAATTTTAATTAATTGTTCAGCTCCTGAAAAGTTACTTGTAAGTTAGTTTTGTTTTGTTTCAAATGTATTAAGAAACTAAACCAATAATATTTGGTAATATTTTGTGTTTTTACCTGGCTGAGGAAGCCTTTTGTTTCAGCATTTTTAAGTGAAAATGTTTCTCTGCTGATCAGAGTTTGTTGTTTAGATGCAGACTCTGTATCTTCCATCCGGACATTTCGCTCCTTCAGCTGCCTCCTGCAGACGCCAGCCGGCTCCCACAGCGACTGTTTGGTTTTGCGGGTTTAATTCCCGATGGGTTCGGGTCCGGAGTGATTAGGCTGAGCCCTAAAGGCCAGCAGGCTTGTCAGGTGTCTCCACACATTAACGTCGCTCTGCTCACAGCCTGAGCCGACAGCGCAGCCAGGGAGAGGGGGAACGGGAAGCCGAGGCATGATGGGAAACGCCTCGTTCGCTCGGGTTTCTACTGGATCTGATTTACAGAGATTTAGCTTTAGAGAGCCAGGAGGTTTCATTAGCTTTACACTGCGAAAACACAAAATCTTACCAAGTAAATTTGGTACTTTATAGCTCAAATATCTTAGTACACTTGAAATAAGACCAAATTAACTTACAAGTAACTTTAAGCAAGATAAATGAGCTTATTTTAAATAAATAATTCCCTTTTATAGATGAAAAAGTTCCAGTTTTATTGGTAGATTATTTTATTTATAACAGGAAAAATGTCATGTTAGAAGTGAAATAATCTGCCAGAGAAGCTAAAACTTTTTCATAATTTTTAAAGTTTTACTTTGGATAGCAAGACTTAGAAAACATTTTTAAATGTTTTCATGTAGTTTTCTTACTTGGAGTCATTTACTTACTTAGACCTGTCATTCTGGAGACACTGTCAAATAAATACAGCTGGTTTTTCAGAGTACAGGGGAATTAAGAATGATATTTTAATAAAGATCACTGCAAAAACTCAAAGTCTTGCAAAGTAATTTTGGTCTTTCTAGTACAAATACACTTTAAATAAGACAAAACTAGTAGATGACTTTTCAGCAAGACACAGGAACTTGTTTTAAGTTTCTTGAATGTTGATGAAAAAGTTCTGGTTTTATTAATTAAGGGGTTGATTTAAAACAATGTCTTATCTTGCAGAAAAGTTACGAATAAGTTTGTTTTGTCTTATTTCCAATGTACTAAGATTTGCACTAGAAACTAGACTAAAATTACTCGGTAGGATTTTGCAGTGTACAGCTGATTTTCAGGTGTAATTTTTACACTTTTCCTGATGACTCTTTAGTTCCTAAAGAGCGAGACTCGGGCGGATGCTGCCTCAACATTTTCGTTAGCCTTTAACCCTGAAAGCAGCTGAGTGTCAACACGGCTGACTTTTCCCTGCTGGATTCAAACAAACTGGCATTGTGTCGACGCACAAACAACTTCCTGCATGCAGACATCCAACTTGTTAGTGGGGAGGCAACTCCTCACCCCCACTCAATCCGACCCCAGAAAAGAAAAACTCTTCCTGCCTGTGACCTCCAACCTCCTCCTACCCCACCCACACCCTGCACTTACCCAGCATGGTGCAGCTATAGGAGGGGCTTTAGGGTGCAGTTTGTGCCCAGACAGAGGTGATGTTAGGTTTTAAAGAGGGGGGTGCATCTTGTTTTGAAGACATGGAGAAATAAAATGTAGTGGAGGGGGGGGTGAGGAGACCTGCTGAGCTGGCAGCCTATATGCCTCCTCCTCCTCCTCCTTCCTGCTATACCTCTGCCTCCATCCCGCTCCGCCTGGCCTCCGCCTCCCCCGCTGCTCCGTCTCCAGCCGTGGGGGTAAAGTACATTACATGCTTGCTAATCAAACCTACATTAC